AAGTAACATTCACTGTAGGTCAAGCCCCAGGCTTCTTCTAGATGCTAAACACTGAGGTCAGATGCCCAGTGAAAGAACTAATAGGCCTTTTGTGGAATAAAGCTGCAAAAATTAGTTCCCTATGAGTGATGTCCGCCATGACCCAGTGTTGCTTGTCTCTGTAAGTGGAGGGAGCTAAGGTTGCTGCCCTGAAATATGTAATTTATCGCACAATTAAGGTTTGTGCCCTTGAGAAACAGGGGTCAGGTATTCAGACAGAAAAGGTCTCCGGACTTTGGTGCCTGCGATTAATGTTTAATTGAGTGTGTCTTGGTTGCTTACTTTTGCAAAGGAATGAAAAACTTGCTTGACAATTAGCCCGAGGTATTGCAGGGCATTACAGCTAAGGTGTGATCTATAGCATTGAGGTGAGTCAAGAATGATTGATATGACTCTTCCAGGAAACCAGCCACTTTGAGGATCATCTGATCGCCTCCTTATCTTCCGCCCCGCCTGCACAGAATGTTCTCCTACTTCACTTCTGTCTCCTGGAACCATGAGCTCCCATAAACGCTCAGCTCAATCATCATCTCCAATAAGGAACCTTTCCTAACTCTCCCAATTAATAGTGCTCTCCAGTGCCAGAAATCACTGCATTGGCATTTATTTATTTTGGATTAATTTGTTTAGTAGTTATTTTATGAATTAATCATTTTATTATGCATTTATGTATTATATATTAATATATATATATTTATTTTGTATGAATTTTAATTTACTTATATGTACACATGTGGCTGCTACCTCTACTCCAGCAGCCTGTAACTGCCTTGAGGGGGAGAGACAGTTTTTTTTTTTCTTTTCTTAGTGTCTATCACACAATCTCAATCAATCAGTTAACATTTCTTAAGAACTTACAATATGTAGACACTCTCCTAAAAGCTGGGAATACAAAAAAAAAAAGTTAAAACAACAGAGCCCCTACCTTCAGTGAGCTTTCGTTCTAGGGGGGAGACAATAGGTAAATAAATGTATATGTGCAAGGTACATATCACAAGTAGAAGAAAGGTAGCCTCAAAGGAGACAGCTTGTGTGTCTCTAATGACTGGGGAGTTCTACACAGTGGAGCATGTTAGTTGAACCTTAAAAGAAGCCAGAGATTTCAAGAGGAGGAGATGAGGGAGTAGAACATTGTAGGCATGGGGAACAGCTAGGACAAAGGCTCAGAGATGGGAAATGAAGGGTCATGTATAAAGAACAGCAAATAGCACAGTACAGCCATGATATAGATTACTTGGAAGAAAGTAAAATATGAGAAGACTAGAAAGGTAGGAAAGGGACAGATTGTCAAGGGTGTTAGATGCCAGGAAGTAACAAGGATCCATTAGAGCTTAGTGGGCAGGAGGACATCATTGTTAGAACTATGCTTTAGGAAAATAAGTTTGGCAGGTGAATGAAGAATGGATTAATATGGTGAGAGACTTGAGGCAGGGGACCAGTTAGAAGCTTTTTCTAATAGTTCAGATGAGACATATGAGAACATGATGTAGGGTAGTGGCTAGAAATGTCAAGATGTGGAAACAGAATGGATCTATGGGGAAGAATGAGGAGTTGAGAATGACACAGATCTTGAGTCTATATAACTGGGAGAACAGTTGGTACCCTTGATAATAATAGGGAAATTTAGAAGGCAGAGGGGTTGGGGGAAAATCATCAGTGCTATTTTAGACATGTTGAGTTTGACATACCTATATGACATCCAGTTCAAGATGTCTAGCAAGCAATTGGAAATGGGGGATAGGAGTTCTGAAAAGAAACCAAGACTGGCTATTTTAATCTGGGAATCATTTGCAGAGAGATGATAACTGAACCTAAGGGAGTTGATTAGATTACCTAGGAAAATAACATAAAGAAGAGAGAAGGGTCCAGGACAGAGCCTTGGGGAATATCACCAATTAGGGAGCAGGTCAAGGATGAAAACTCAGAAAGGAAAGTGTATCCAGAAAAGATGGTGATCAGTCAGAAGCCAAAAGCCAGATTATAATGAAGAGAGTTAGATGAGAGGAAGAGGAGGCATTGAGTACAAGTGACTTTTTGAAGGAGTTTAACTGAGAACAGAATGAGAGTATAGGACTATTGGTAGCACAGACAGATCAAATGAGGGTTCTTTGAGATTGGAGGAGACATGGGCCTGTTTGTAGTAAGCAGAGAAGAAGCAAGTAGATAAATAAAACTTGAAATTGAGAGATATTAGAGATAATGGAAGGCATCCTTCTAGAGAAGACAGGAGATCCTCGGCATATTTTATAATTCATATTTGAAATGAAAACATGTGTTCCCTTAGCATAAGCAGAATGATTATTATTTTGTTACTATTATTACAGGCAAATCACCAAACACAATTAAATCCTTTTTTAAAAAGTGTGACCTAATCCCAATTGCCTCAAAAAAAAAAGTGTGCCTAGGCCTGCACAAGACCCAGATAACACCCAGAAGGTCCATTGAAATGGTTTCTGTAAGCCTGGATGACTTTAAAGGATATGACGTAGATGCAGATTTTCTTCAGTCACAGGCCACACTCTGAGATCCCACTGAGTTCTGAATTTCTGTGATTCTGTGATTCTGTGATTTGTCGGTGCTGTCCTTGGGAATAAAATGCTAAGAGATGCTCAACCTTATAGTTACCAGAGACTTAGTGAGAATGACTGGAGTATGATTTGTTATGAATTTTTGGGAAACAAGAGTTTCGAGAATAAGTAGCTTATTTTTCCTAATACTAGTGGTGCCTTTCCTTTAAGATAAGCCCCAAATTAACCTGGATATATCTGTTTTGTATGTAGTTGTTTGCATTTTGTCTTTACTATTAGACTATAAACTACTTGAGGGCAGGGACCAGTTTTTGTATTCTTTGTATTCCCAGGGCTTAGCACAGTGCCTGGCACCCAATTAGCTTAATAAAGACCTTTTGACTTGGCTGGTTGGCTTAAGCGTGCTTTGGACATACTGGTTCTACCGACTCCTTTATTTTTGTTTCTGTATTTTACACACGACCCCAGGAAAAGAGCAAAAGTAGAGAAGAAAATGATTTTCCATTGAAGAAGTGATTTATTTAGAAAGGACCTTTGTTGTTATTCCTTTTTATAGAAGCTACTTCTGTTCTGTGCCTTTGAGCTGTTGGTAAAAGATTCAGGACAAATAAAATTCAGGTCAACTCATCCTGTTTATTTAGGGGCCAGTCAGAACTCCTATTTGTCCAGGAATCAGGTACAGTAAACTCCTGGGGCTGAGATGTATTTCCCTTTAGGCCTCCCTGAGGAACAGAGTGTCCTAGGTTTCTGTCATTTGGTCTCATTTTACAAGGTTCCTTCTGGCAGATTTCAATGATGGTCAGTTCCCCCATCACTACGGAAACCCCAGTGGATACATGCAACTGTCCTATAACCTGCCTTGATATGCTTGTGCTTCTGAGTGGCAGGCCAGCTACGATGAATCTTCCTTTCTTAAACACACTTTTATATAATTGTCATACCTCTGGTGTCCTTTTCCCGCTGCACACTGTCCTCCCATTATGCCCTCTGGACCTCTTGTTATGTTATCATTAAACTGCCCTTCAAATTAGATCTGTACCCCCAACCACTTTATGTTGATTTCATATTTACTCACATGTGCACAAGTTGGTTCTTCCGAATATAATGTAAGCTCCTTGAGGGCAATCATCATTTCATTTTGTCTCTGTGTCCTCAGAATCTATTAATAGTACCTGACACAGAATATGAGCTTAATAAATTCTTTTAAAAAGTTTGGGTCAAATTGAACACTTGTTGTATGGGGAAGATGCAAAGAAACATGGTGGGAAGGAGGCTTAACTTAGAGCTAGAACAGAATGGAATTCAAATGCTGGCTCTGAAATTTGCTAGTTATGTGACCTTAGGAAAGTATTCTCATCTGTATCATGATAATGGTAATTATTATTATCATTAATGATAATTAATGGTGATGATGCTTGTGTTATCTAATTTCACATGTATAGTGCTGGTAAAGAAATAGTAAAATGTACAAAATTATTATTATTATTATTATCATTATTACTATCATTAACATTATTATTACAGGCAATTCACCAAACATAACTGAGCCTCAGTTTCCTCATCTATAAAATGGGGCCAATAACAATTCTTTACAACAGTCAGAACTATTCAAACTTGAATTGGGCTGCCTTAGGAGAAAGTGGCATAATGGATAGGAACCCACCTTAGAATCAGGAAGACAGAAACTTAAATCCTGCCTCTCTCAGGTGTTGGGTAGTGTGACCTGCAATGACTCACTTAACCTCTCAATGCCCCGGGCAACTCTCTGTCAGTCAAAATAAACATTTATTAACCACCTACCATGTGTAAGCCACTCTACTAAACACTAAACTCAGCTGTCTAGGATTGCATGCTACAGAGATAGACCAGATATCAATTTACATTGGTCAAGGGAGGTCCTTATAACCAGTGATATCATAGTTCTAGCTAAAAAAAGAATAATAATATACTGTTCATAGAGTTATTGAGAGATATCATCATCATCATTATCATCATCATTATTCTTTCTGAGCCTCAGTTTCCCCATATATAAAATGTGGATAAAATGCGTAAACTGTTTACCTCAAAGGCTTTTTAATAGGGAAAGCACTTTGTCTAAATTAAAGCAAAATAGAAATGAGCTGTTATTATAGGATTATAGTTTTAGAGTTAGAAGAAACTTTAGTAGCCATGGAAACCGACCCCATCATTTTGTGAATGAGGAAACAAGCAGCAGAGGCTAAGTGGCTTGCCCAGGTAGTGAGCAGCTAGCAAGTATCTGAAGAAATATTCTTACCTGACTCCATGCCCAGCAGTCTATCCACTATCTCATGCAGGCCAACCCTAAAGAGCATTGTACTGGTTGCAAGAGAATTACTATCCATGAAGTGAATTGCTTTATGGCTTCCTTTAAGCTTTTCAACTGACACTTAAGCTTCTATTTCCTCCCCACAGTGTCAGAGAGCCGAGGGATTTTAGAGAGCATCCAGAGATTCTCCCTGCTGCCCACCTACCTTCCTGTGAGCTACCGTATCAACAATGCCGATATCTCCTTCTTCCTCAAGGAAGCCAACCAGGACATCATGAGAAACTCAAGTTTGCAATCCAGAGTGGAATCCTTTCTGATTTACAAATCCAAGATGGCACCTTCCTTGAATGCCAGCTATAAGTTTTTTTCTGTGGAACAACTTGTACCCCAGGACCTGCTGTTGCCTTCCAATCCATTTGCATCTACCAACAAGTTTGCTCTCAACTGGAAGCTAAAAGCCTACATCATGAGTGATAAAATCTACCTGAGTAGGCCCAGAGTTCAAATCTTGTTCTACATAGTGGGCAGGGATTGGGATGACCATAGCACCACAGAGAGGCTGCCCTGCCTCCGAGTGTTTGCCTTCAGGGAGACCAGGGAGGTGAGAGGCAGCTGCCGCCTGGCAGGGGAACTTGGACTGTGTGTAGCTCAGTTGGAACTCCTGTCCAGCTGGTTTAGCCCCCCGACTGTGGTTGCAGGGAGGAAAAAGTCAATGGATCAATCAGAAGGAAGTCCTGTAGAGCTTTACTATTCCATCCAACCTGGAGATGAGAAAGGAGATTGTACCAAGGAAGAGACAAGGAAAAATAGTGGAATCCGTCCAGGCCACAATGATATTGATGAAGTGGGTCCTCCTTTGCAGAGGATTGGGAGTGTGTTTCTCTACCAGACTCACAGTGGAAGCCCTTCTTGGAGGGAACTACACTTAGATAACAATGTTGCCATCCACTACGTGGCCAAGACTGCCAAACAAGGAGACATTTTGACTTTCCCTGTTTCTGTTTCTAGAAATTCCACTGAGGATCATTTCACACTGAGGTAAGTTAAAAGAGCTGAAAGTCAAGACATACCTTTTGAATTTCATTGTTTTCATGGGAGACTTATACTATTGCCATGAAAATTGAGCCAGTTTTTAACGTTTTGTAAAAAGAGTTTCGTTTCAATATACTATGAAAATTAAATAGAGAAAATGTGGCAGAATGGTTAGAGTGCTGGGCCTTGAGCCTGAAGACTTGGATTTTAATTCTACCTGTGACACATACTAATGGTTGGACCCTGGGCAAGTTACTTAGTTTAAAATTGTCTCAGTCTTCCCCATAGTAGTTGGATAGGTTATCACAAATGAGTTGCTTGGCAGAAGGATTTCCTACCCATGCATTGACAAAATAATAGTTCATTTGGATATTCAGATTAGGAAATACTGAACTAAATTTGGAGTTAGTTATTTGCATATCTGAATAGGTTGTTAAAATTGCTTTTTAGATTATCCAGAAGATTTTAGATTTATAGAATGAGAATATTTTGACTAATACTAAACATTTGAAGGTCCAAATTAGTACCGCAATGTTTGTAACTGTCATTAAAATTGCGATGGGAGAGATCTATTCTCATCCTATGTATTTTGAGGGTATATGGGTTGAATTTACTTTTGCATTTCTTGTTTTTTCCTAAGTTATGATTTCAGAGTACCTGCCCCCAACAACAACCACAAAAGTTGGTCCATTCTCATGGTCCCAACCGTGAATTGGTCCCATCTCATTAAGTCCATTGGATTGATATAAAACCAATATGACAACATATGAAATAGAATTTGGAAGGAAATGGATTTAGGGATATTAATTCCCAATACAATAATGTTGTTGTTCATCCTTTGTTTTTGAGGAGGACCAATGACATAAGGGGGTGATATCTTAACTTGCATAAATTGGATTTAAGTGAGGCAGAGTTGCACAAAATATAATAATAGCAAAAGTCAGAAGAAGAGAGGATTTGGGGGAAAAAGATCAATTCTCTTTTAGACTTGTTGAGTTTGATATGCTTAAGGGACAATCAGTTCTAAATGCCCAACAAAACATTAAGTGATATGGGACTAGATCTCATGAGATGGATTAGGGCTAGTTAGTTATAGGAATGGTAATCAATCCCATGGGAGTTGATGTGATTACCACTTAAGAAGACCGAAAGAAAAGAGGAGTCCAGGGCAGAACCTTGGGAGACATCTGCCTATTCTTAAATGTGGCATGGATGACAATGAGCAAATGAGACTAAGGAGTAATCAGGTGGGAGAGACATATCAGAGACATATCCTAGAGGAGCCAGTGAGCAACAGTATCAAATGCTCATCAAGAAGGATGAGGATTAAGAAGAGGCAATTGAATTTGGCAGATTGTTAGTAACTTTGGGGAGAGCAATTTTGGTTGAGTGATAAACCTGAAACTAGATTGCACAGGGTTTAGAAAATGGAGAACAGTTTGTGGAGGCTCTAATTGTAGAGGGCTTTCTTGAGGAGTTAGAAGGAAAGGAGATGAGACTGATAGGATCTAATGAAGATTTTTCAAGCATTGGGGATATTTCAGAGTGTTTATAGACAGCCAGAATGGAGCCAGTAGATAGAAAGTGATGGAAGATTAGAGAGAGTGGGGTTGATGATGGGGGAAATCTTTTGGAAAAGATGTTTGGGGAAGAGATCAAGGATACATGGTAGAAGGGTTCATCTTGGCAAGCAGACGGCTATGTCATGATCAGAAATAGGAGCAAAGGAGATAGTGGAAGATTGTGTCAGAGGGTATATGAGGAAAGACTGAGAGAAGAGTGGACTCTTGGTGAACAGCCTCATTTTTTTTTTTTGATGAATTATAAGGTAATGTTCTAAGCATGAGAGTGGAGGGGAGGCAGTGATAGGGGAACTTGAAGGGAAAAGAGAAGGTTTAGGATAGTTATAGTTAATGTGAAATGAATTATATGGGGCAGCTAGGTGGTGCGGTGGATAGAGCACCAGCCCCTGAGTCAAGAGGACCTGAGTTCAAATCCAGCCTCAGATACTTGACACTTACTAGCTGTGTGACCCTGAGCAAGTCACTTAACCCTGATTTCCTCGACCTCCACACCAAAAGAAAGAAGAAATTAGTTATGAAGAAGTAGTATGAATGCCCTGCTGCATTGAGGGCCCAGTTGAGATTAGATAGTAATAATTACCTATAAGGTCCCTTAGATCTCTAAATCATGGATAGAGTGCTCAGTAAATTCAGGGAGAACTAAGTGCTAGATGGTGTCATGGAAGGAACACTGGCTTTGGGTTGAGAGAACCTGGGTTCAAATCTAGACTTACACTTAATGCCTATGTGTTTAGTATGTCTCCTTAACCTCTGGGCCTCAGTTTCCTCATCTGTAAAATGAAGAAGAGTCACCAAATAGCCTCTGAGTACCCTTCTATCTCTGAACCTATGAGTCTAAATACTGCCACTGATACTTCCTAACTTTGTGACAGTGGGCAAGTCATTTCGCCTCTGAGTCTCAGTTACCCCTCTAATATCTGAAGTACTTCCCACTTAGGTTTATTGTAAGGCTTACACGAGATCACGTAGTTTAAGTGCTTTGCAGACTTTATAGAGATCTATAAATATCAGTCATTACAATTTTTTTTTGTCCTAAATCATATGATTGTTTTTGTGGTTGAGGAAGACAGATGCACTGTGGGTTGCTGAATAGACATGATTGAGCCAACCCTGTTGCTGAATCTGGCAAAGCATGCAGGTGTTTTTATGCTTGAGAGAGAAGGGTTTGTTCTTGTGTGTTCTCCAAATACTACTTCATTTTCTTATCCCCACAGTCTAGAGGAATATAAGCTGTTTCTTGGATCACAAATGACTCCACATCAAAAAAATTTTTTTTGAGTCTCTGCTTGGTGAGACCTCAGATGCTACCACTGGCCTAGAAGCTGCTGTGCAAAATTTTGGAGCTTTTAAAGTATTTACAGGCAGCTAACCCTGGGGTATAGGGAGTAGGAGGGTAAGTCATATTCTCAGGCAGGTTTCTAGCCAGTGCCTACAACATAGTAGGTATTTAATAAATTCTTGTTGGTTGCTTGGGATTATCTTTCAGAACACCACTAACACCACCATCACTAATACCAATGTGAGGTATGTATTACTCAGGTGGTTTATGTATATGTTCATAGAGGCTATCTAATTGTAACTCTAGGGGAGACTTTGAATAGAAATCTCTTGAATTTCTTCCTCGCTTTCTGAAGGCAACTTTGATTTCTGCCTAGAGGTATGTGTGTGTTGGGGGCAGGGGAAGGGAAGGCAATAAGGGATTGGGGCTACTAGGCTGACCTGCTTTGCTCATTTCAGAGGTAGTATTAGATTAGAATAATATCTACCTGCCTTCCTCAATATTGCTAATTTAGGTGAAATGTTTTTGAGGCTTAGACTGCTTCCCTGGTATCTGTCTCTCAAAGGGGAAGAGATGTATCTTATATCTAGGTGGCTTTGTTCCTTTTCACCTGATGCTAGTTATATAAAAGACCAACCCAAATAGTGAATAGTGAATAAATCCATTCATCCAAGCAGACAGCAAGCAGAAACCAGATAAGTTATGGAGATTAGAATATTCCAGATAAGACACAAAATAAATGAATTCTCCCATTGGGAGAGAATAATCTCCATTTATCTGAGAATTTCTGCTTTCACACAAAGTGAAATTCTTGGAAGTCTGTAGGGAGGTAAGCTGGACTCAGGGACATGATAGGAGTTAGCTTTCAGCTACCTGTTTTCTCAAGTCTTTTTCTCTGAGTCCCGCCCCCTCTCCACCTCCTACAGTAAGTAGCAGGAAGAATGTCTCATGCAGGCATTGAGTGGCATTCTTTCCACCAATGAGAAGAGTCTTGTGTAAATGTACCAGACATGAACCCTGGGTTACAGTAATAATGATAAATACTAGTAACAACTGACATTTTTATACTATCTTAAAGCTTGCAAGGTTGGTACTACAAATATTATCTTGAGAAGTTAGAGCTGTCCAATAATAGGAGTGTGTGTGTGTGTGTGTGTATGTGTGTGTGTGTGTGTGTGTAGACTGATATGTTATCACTGCTAAGAAGAGATAAAGGTGCAATTGATTTCAAGCCAGCTACTTTCCAGATCTCTAAACAGTGGCTAATAGGGCCTTGAGGTAAGCCACTAAATAAACAGAAAACTTTGCTTCAGAGGAAGAAAGGGTTATTTAATGAGAACAAAGAAAGGCTTGCACAGTTAGAGAAATGTACTTGAAAAAAAACACGCAAATTTATTTTAAAAAGACTTCTACAAATTGAGTAAATTATTCCTAACTGTAACCCTAAAGGTACAGATGGACTAGCTTCCTGGAAATGGGAGGAAAGTAGATTACAGAGCTATACCAGTCCTAAGACTTCACTTGGTAAACCCTGAGGTAAAGCTACCAAGCTTTTGAAGAGAGTGGAGATGAGGAAGCAATAGAGGGAAAGAGGCTTTTGAAGGAGAAATAATGTTTATCATTTCTTTAGCACGTTAAGATTTGAAATTTGTTTTACAAGTGAGATCACAGGTGATTCTCACAATATCTCTTTGAGGTAGGTGCGATCATTACCCCCAATTTATAGATGAAGAAACTAAGGCTGAGAGAAATGGAATTACTTGGTCAATGGTTGCATAGCTAGTTAGTGTTTGAGGAGTGGTTTGAAACCATGTCTTCCTCACCCTAAATCCAGAGCTCTATTCATTATATCACACTGCCTCTCTTTCTAATTTTATTATCTGTCAGCAAATCGAATACTTACTCATAGATGGTGCAAAAGGAAATGCAATAAAGACCTGACTGGATTATTACACATTTCATTTTGGTAGCACTGTCCACACAAATTAGGTTTCATTGTCTATGTCCTGATTCCAAGTCCAGCGCTTTGCCGGAGAAAAGAGGAGGGAGAAGGGAGAAGGAGAAAGGGAAGAAGGAAGAAAGAGAAAAAAAAAGGGAGAAATAGGAAGAGCGAGAATTGAAAAAGAAAAAGGAAGGTAATGAGG